CAAACGAATGGCTAGAGAAGCTGTGGTATATTCGCACAATGGAATACTATGCTGCATTAAAAAACAAGGAACTCATGCAATATTATTCAAAATGGTTGACTCTGGAGAACATTATGCTGAGTGAAATATCCCAGTCACAAAAGGACAAATATTACATGATGCCACTGTTGTAGAATGGGACTGTCTTTGGGGTTGGGGAGAGACTGAGTAAGATGGGTTCAATAATGTATACTGCATTGAAGCCGAGGAGGGAGAGAACCGTTTAAAAGAGAGATGTAACTGGGTATTTCTGTCATCACAGGAGACTAGAGCGAGGGCTGCATGGTGGAGGGGACCTGGGGGAGGGTTTGTAAAACAATGAAAGAATCTTTTCTTTTACTTTTCCATAATTTTTGGACTCATGTACTTATAACTTGTTAGTCAAATTTGTGTCTTCTAGGTTGCAACACCCCCATGATACATCTTGAAGGATATGTACATGTACAGCCAAGCACAATCAATAAGAATGCATCTGAATTCCAAAATCAATCTCCATAATAGTCTATGTGTTTCCTACTGCCAAAGGGGCCCTTTAGAGTAGTGAGAGAAGATCTTCACCCTGAAACCCACAGCATCCCTTTTCAGCAGGAAGTAGCTAAGAGAATACGCCGTCCCCTTTTCCTTATGACTCAGGGTGAAGTCTCTCTCAGGGAGGAGTGATAGGGAATGGCAAAGGATACCCTGACAAAGAAGATTAATCAGAACTGGCTTTGACAAGCACTGTGGCATTTGGACAAGAACAAACTGGGAGGAGGGTAGAGAGAATAGTGCAACAATGAATGAGTGGAAGCCCAAAATCTCTGTAAATGTTTATGAAAATTAATAAAATATAATTATAGAAAAAAAAAGAACCAAGATGGGATAAGTTATGTATACTGTATTGAAGCAGTTGAGGGAGAGAACTGTTTAAAAGGGATATATGATTAGGTATTATTGTCAAGACAGGAGTCCAGAACAAAGGCTGCACAGTGGAGTGGACTTGAGGGGAGGGATTGTATACCAATGAAATAATTTTTTCTTTTACTTTTCAAAGAGAAGAGTGAACTGGGGGCGAGGGGGGTGTGCAGGTAGAAAAGTGAAACAAAGAATGAATGGAAATTCAAAGTCTACATAAATTTTCATGAAAATTAATAAAGAACAATAATAAAAAGAAAAGAAAAGAAAAAAAAACAAACCCAAGAGCTGGTCAAGCTTTGTACGGATTTAACAAGTTCCATGGGAGTCCTTGATGACCTTAGTGAGATCTATGCTAGTGAAATGATAAATGGAATTCAGATTGAAAGTAAGAAAAAAGTAAAGTAGAACTGGAAAACAGCTAACTCTTTTGAGAAAAGTAGAGAAGCCAAAGCACAAGGAAGAATTCAAGATACTAAAGAGCTGAACAGAAGATTTCAAAAGGCAGCTCAGAATGACAAAGCAAAATATTACAATGAAATGTGCAAGGAGTTGGAGTCAGAAAACCAAAAGGGTCGAACTCGCTCAGCATTTCTTAAGCTCAAGGAACTGAAGAACAAATTCAAACCTCGAGTTGCTATAATCAAGGATGCTTTAGGCAGAATATTAAATGATCCAAGAGGTATCAAAAGAATATGGAAGGAATATACTGAGTCATTGTATCGAAAGGAATTGGCAGACACAGAAGAATTTAACGAAATAACATATGAGCAAGAGCCTATGGTGATGAAGGAAGAAGTTCAAGCTGCTTTGAAAGAAATAGCAAAAAATAAGGTCCCAGGAATAGATGTATACCAACTGACATAGTTCAGCTAACAGATACTGCCCTGGACGTGCTCACCAAGTTGTGTCAAGAAATCTGGAGAACGACCACTTGGTCGACTGACTGGAAGAGATCTATATTTGCTCCCATTCCAAAGAAAGGTGACCCAGCAGAGTGTGGAAACGACAGAACAATATCATTGATTATTGGAAAGACTGTGGGTGGAATCAGGCACACCTTAGTCTCTAAACTGACCTCATTGCACTTCAGCACTTTAAAGAAGTCTCTGAAAGCAGACTTTTCCAGTGTTATGCCTCCTGATCTCCTAAATGCTGGTACCGTGGGTGTTGACTGTGGATCCAAGCAAGATGAAATTGTTGACAGTTCAATCTTTTCTCCATCTATCATACTGTTGTCTGTTGGACTAATGGTGAGGATTTCTGTTGGTGAGATGTAATGCATATTGTAAGCTGCAGTCCTTGACCACCTTCAGCGAATGCTTCAGATCCTCCTCAATTTAAGTAAGTAAGTCATCTGCATAATTCAGGTTGTTGAAGAGTCTTCTTCCAATTCTGTGCTGTACTCTTACTCATAAAGTCCAGCTTCTCAAATTATTTTCTCAGCATACAGATTGAATAGGCATGGAGAAAGGATAGAGTCCTGATGTACATTTTTTCCCAATTTTAAATCATTCAGTGTTCCCTTGCTCTTTTTGGACAACAGTTCTTGGTCTAGGTATAGATTTCATATAAGCATAATTAAGTGCACTGGAATTCTCATTGTTAAGAATAGCCATAATCTGTTAAGATCCACACAGTCAAATATCTTTCAATAAACCACAACTAGACAGTTTTCTGATATTCTCTGCTTTTATTCCATTTAGCAGTAAAATAAGCTGCATATATGCTCAGATGCTTACACTAAAAAACAGGGGTTTATGTTGTTGTTATTATGTTGTTGTGCCATCAATTGCCTGTAACTCATAGTAACCCTACGCACAACAGTTCTGAACACTCTCCAATCTTGAGCCAATCTCACCGTCTCTAAGATCCGCATGCCCATTACCCCAGTTACTGCGTCAATCCATCTCCTCCAGAGTCTTTCTCTCTTGCCTTGTTCCTCTATGCTTCCAAGCATGATGTCCTTCCCCAAGGACTAGTACCTCCTTGCAGTATGTCCAAAGTATGTGAGACAGAATGTCAAAATCCTTGCCTCCCAGGAAAAGTGTGCTTTCATCCTCTCCAGGACAAACCTGTTGTGTTTTTCTTTTCTCCTTTGGCAGTGCATGGAATGTGCAATACTCTTCTCCAGCACCACAATTCAAAGGCATTGATCCTTCTTCTGTCATCCTTAGTCATTTTCCAGATATTTGCTAGGTAGGTGTATGGAAATTGAGGAGGCATAGAGTTTAGATTATTGCAAAGTGTTACTGAAATGATAAGAAGCCACCCAAACTGATTAGGAGAGAAAGGGAAAATTAGAAGCCAAAAAAATCAATGAAGTAAAAGAATTCTTTATATGATTGCTGCAGCACAATTCTACAGTTTACTCATGTAGGCCTCTGTTATTATTCTTAACTGATGAGGCAACATGAGTTTTTCTTAAAAATTTCATTGTGAAATAATTATAAAGTATAGAAAGTTGTAAAAGTAGCACAGCGAGGTTCCATATATACGCCCTCCAATTCCCTTCAATGCATACATTTGGTCATGATAGTATAACAGCATACCAAGAAAACTGACATATGCACATATGCATATAGTTTTATGCAGAGGTTTCTGTAAGCACCATCACAAACAATATCAGAACTATTCCATCAGCACAAAGCTTTCCATCTTGCTATCCCTTTTGGATCATACCTAATTTTCACCACTCCCTTCCTTCACATCTGAAACCCTTAAGCTCTTTTTTAATTTAAAGAATGACCTATCAGGTTGCTGGATGGAAGCCAATCCTTTGTAATTGTTAAGTAATATTTCATGACTTCAATGTATCAAAAATCCACCAAGAGGTATTGTTTGTAATTTAGAACTATTAAAATTTTAGTACTATACATATTTGTGTATTGGCTTTTGTAGTAATGGAAATGTTCATATATTTAGAAACAAGGTGCAATCAACAATTTCTGCATCCTATAACAAGCTTCTGCTCAGCTGTCTAATAATTCCAAACTAGTTTCAAGCCTGGTTATTAACTAACCTTCTGTTTTTACAATAATGGTCTTACACAGTATTTGTCCTTATGAGACTGATTAGTTCACTCTGCATAATGCTCAAGACTCTCTTATGTAATATATAGTATTTTACAAAATCATTTCCAAGTTATTGAGGAGTAATGATGTCAGTTTGAGAACTAAGTTGAGCCTGTTTCAGTCCATATTATTTTCAGAAACCTGCTATGTATCTGAGAGCTGAACAATAACCGAGGATGCCAGAATAAGAACTGACATCTTTGAACTGTGTGGTATTGGAGAAGAGTATTGAATATCCTTGGACAGTCAAAAGAACAAAGAGATACACTGCATCTTTAGAGGCAAGGAAGGTAAAGTTTCATGTCACATTCATTGGGCATGTTGTTAGGCAGAGGTTATTCCTTGGAGATGGACATCATGCTTGGGAAGGTGGAGGAGTGGTGAAAGAGAGGAAGACCCTTGACCAGGGGGGTTGCCATGGTGATTGCAACAATGGGCTTGAATGTGTCAGAGACTGTGAGATGGTATGGGATAGGAAGTGTTTAGATTGGTTGTTCATAAGGTCACTATGAGTCATTCTTAATGTGACTGCACCTAACAACAACAACTAGGAATGCATGTTGTTGTGTACCATCAACTCGGAACAGACTTAGTTGACCATAGTTGACCCTCCAATAGGTTTTCAGAGGCAGTTAAGCACAGGGGAGGAGACTGCCCATCCTTCTCCCATAGAGTAGCTGGTGGTCTTGAACCATGTGCCTTTGGGATTGCAGACAAATCAATTTTTCCTCATTCTTGCCAGTATTTGGTAATACCTCTGTTATTCATTTCAGCTATTCCATCCAGTGTTTACCAATATCACATTCTTTATAAAGCACATTTTTATATTATAATATTTGTGGATGTTTTGTCAGTAGAAGTAGGAAAAAAAACCCCAGTTTTGATGTAACTACTCAGTAATACATACTAAATGATATCTACTCTTATTATAAAACACCTTGGCAAAACTAGAAGTCAACTTAATTAAGAAAATAATTGGTTGGCCATACATACCTTCATCCACAACAGCTTGCCACTGAAGTACAGGCTTTGGGTACGAAGTTCTAACACTAAAGGCCTGACATTGCCAGTCTCTGAATCCAGGCAAACCTGCAGGACAAGGTGGATTCTCACATATTCTGTATTGTTTTCTGGGACCATTACAATCCCTTGCTTCAGTACCTAGCCTAGAAAAGATAGCACAAATAATCAATTTTATCTCTGCTTTTTATGTTAGTTAACCATTTTTTAAAAGAACATTATTTTAATGATGTATAATCCTAATCCTTCATAGTAAATCTACTTTTGTAAACATAATCATATTGAATAATTAGTAACAGTAGGGGATACATATGTAGAATATATATATATAAATACATAGGCATCTCAAACATATATATTCATATATATATATATATATATAAATTTATCTGTATTTATCTAAACTTTTCAGTTTCTTTAAATGTTCACATGGTTGTCCTAATTTGTTTCCCTATTTTTTAAGAACAACATCTTCCCAAATTTATTCACAATATCATCCTTTTTAGCTTTTTATTTTTCATTCTTAGATAATTTGGTCCTTATTTACTTTTTTGGAAGGATTTTTTATATATAAAGTTTTGAGAGATTTTTTCCATTTTCCACAATGGAGCAGGCTTTGAGGGGATTTGCTAGCTACTCAACATTCAACATAGTAACACCTTTGCATTCCAAAATTGAAGAAAAACTGCCCTCCCCCAAACCAGGAACTTTGCTTTTACCCAGGACATTTGCGCTCGCGAGTGCTGGTCCCAGAACTGCAGGTTCGGCTACATGGGCTCCACAGGCTCCACTCTCCAGCCAGGTGTCCAGGTGCTGAGGTCCTGCTGGTACATTCTCCAGCCTTACACCACTATTCCAAAAGTTATGTCTTAGGTGAACAAATCAGGGCACAACTGAAAATCATTCATTGGTCTACACAGTCACTGGAAAGCCAATTAAGTTAGGTCTACTAGAGCCCCAAATATAAGGAAATGAAAAACATCAAAACCAAGTTAACTCTTACTTGCTCCCCACTGTAATATAATGCCTCTGTTCTCACAATTCTACTGCCACATCATACAGCCTTGCCATAAACCCGAAAATTCAGTTCTTTTGACTGAGATAGGAAGAAGGCAATGAGGGAATTAGGAAATGAATAAACAAAAGAAAAATTCAAGCAATTCTTAAAAAAAACTAAACAAATGAAAAGCCCCAGAAAACAATTTAAAGTACAAAATATGAGAATAATATTAAGAATGTAAAAAAAGAAATAAATGTCTTTCCTATTATAACTATGTGTTAGAGGTCATTTTAATAAATTTAGTAATTTTGATTTGAAATGCCAGTAATTCAGTATAGTTCCTTTGCTTGTAAATATAGTTTTTTAAATTGACTTTTAGTTTTTTCCTCTTTGCTTAATCCACCCCTAACCAATAAAGTTCCTATCAAATACAAACATTAAGAGCATGTCGAATTTCCTTCTCAAAGTCCAAGTTTGTTGAAGAGATTTGAGTCATCAGACTTCTTGAAATTTTGTTACTTAATTCTTGTTATTATATAATTTATTTGGTATCTATTAACTGGAAAAGAAAACACTGGAGTAGGATCATTCTCTTTTTCACCGACTTTAAATAAAGGCAGTTGCTAAGAGGCAGGGTTGCCAAAATTCATTAGATTATCATTATTACTATTCTTTTCTGGAAAATCAGCTAGATGGTGGTCCCAGCAAACACCTCAAAGGTAAAAATTAACTGTTAAAAAACCCTGAAAACAGTAAGTAAGGATTAGAAACATTACTATTAATGACTATATAATAATGGGTTCCAGGAAACTGATCTCCATATAATATTCTGTGATTTGCAGCAACATTATTTAAAAGATATTTCGGGAGAATGATAGAAACTAATAATCAGCTTTTCCATTTTCAATGTGTGACTGATAATATAGATGCTTAAAAGACTTTTTACAAAAGTTAAATGAAGCACAAGTAGAATACATCACACACAGTAAGCACTGAACCAAGGTTAACAATGAATAATAATAATAATGTAAAAATATTACATATACCATTATATTCAGGTTATAAATTAGATTTTAGAATCTAACAAAATTCGATTAATTCTAATATTTAATGATCTTTTTCTGATTTTAATTTGATAATGTTTCCTAAATATTTTTAGAAGGTGGAATTTACAGTATTTTCTATATAGCTTTAAATCCAGCTCATGCTTTTATATGCACTGAATTAGTTAGTCCTTGCAGATTTTTCTCTAGTACTACCAAAATTTAAATACAATCCTTTTAAAATAAAGTCTTAGATCTAGAGTTGAATAAAATATAAAAAAAAGTGAACAACTCTGAGTAATCCTTTGTGACACTGTCAATTTTCATTAAAGAAACTGAGGTTTTGTATGAAGATAGTCTGACACTTGGAAAAAGGGGGGAAATGGAGACCAAGCGAAAGCATTCTAAGTTATTCTCTGGTTTTGAGAACTTAGTAAAGTTATGTTACTTGTTAAAAAACCCCAACCTACTATGTAAGCTGTGAAACTTCAATTGGATATTTGGTTTAGGTGTGCATATCACTACTATATGAGTGTTAAGTTTTTCTTGGAGTGCTCATCATAAATCTTTGCCCATTTAGTAATAATCACGCAATGAAATGATGGACTGAATGTCATAGCAGGCTAACATATCCTGGGACACTATAGGACATGGCACTGCAAAGCATTGAAAGCAGAACATAACTGGCAGATTAAAAGAAATGAAAACAGATATGCAAGCCAATCTGCATATACATATCCAGTGATGGTTATAAGGACAAAAGAGTTACACACACATACAGACACACACACACTCTCTCTCTCACTCTCTCTCCTTTGCACATTCCAGGTCTCTGGATAAAATTCTCAGAAATGAGGGTTCAGTGGTAAAAAGCTGCACTATTAACCCAAATCAACACAGTTCGAATCCACCAGCTGCTTCACAGGACAAAGATGAGCAATCAACTCGTGTGTGATTTAAAGCCTCTGAAAACTCATGGACAGGCCAACTATGAATTGATTCTGACTTCCCAGCAAGTAACAACAACAGATGGTACTATGCTTTTGCACCGAGGGACATGCTAAATGCTTTCTTCAAATATTACTGAGTTTCTAGAAAATAACTCAGGATGTTTTCCATAAACATTCTAGCAGCATTTATTATTTCATTAACATTGACACATTTCAGTCTCAAGAATGATATTGTGCATAGTTTATAAAACTTAAAAATTTGCAATCTCCATCCAAGTCAGTCTTATTTAAAAATTGCTGACAGATCTGCAATGGAGATTATTTCTGGGATAGTTTGTGACATTAATTATATTAATATACTTGCAAATATTTAAGCAGATATTCTAGGAAGTTCATGAAAATATTCAGTTGAATTAGATTCATTAAGATGTCAAAAAAGCCTAATTATTCTCCAATCAAATAAATATCCTCATTTACACCGATGGGAGAAAAGAAAAGAAGGAAGACAAGCAAAGTCTCTGAACACATGCATGTCAGCGACAAGGCATTCCAGCCCTTGTTATTTCTAGTCTGAAAGATAATGGTAATTTCCATTTTGGAAAATAAATGCCATGACCAAAATATATTATATAAACAAATACAAAACAATGTGAAATTCCGGTCAGTTGTTATTTAACTGCCTTCCCATCGCCATTCACAAGTAACAAGCATACTTTTGTTGGTTGATATTATCATTCATCACATATTTAATATATTAAATGTAAATGTAAACATATATGAGAGAATATTGTGAAGGTAAAGAGGAAGACAGAAAATAGATCAATAAAAATTTGGTAAATATCCTTACACATAGCATGTAAATCCCTACCTTCAAAATAATGCAGAGTCCTACAATTGTGTAGGCACCTTCTTAGACTCTTACTACATACTGTTAGATGAGCTAGGATACACTGCTAGATTAACATCACTACAGTGTCATGAGTTACACAGTCTCTCTTTGTCTCTTTGTTTGCAGTGTACTGAGCTAGCAGTAGTTAGGACTGGCTGCAAACATTCAAATATTTTCGCATTGCCACACTCAATAGACGTGTACTGGAAGAGGTCTGTGTGATGCTTGCATGACAGGTGGAACCAACACTATCTAAAGCAGCCCACATGGCCTGGGGAACTCAGATGTTCATTAGTTATTTCACCACACAAATTATAACAGAATCACCAGGAGAAATCATTAACACAATTATAAATAAAGAATACATTTTATATTGATGAGTAGTTAGGTGATAGTTTGCTGAAAGAGTATGTTTATGTTAGATACCTAAGGTTTATACATAACATACAGACAGACAAAATTGTGCAAACTCTTTAGCATGTCAGATTATAAAACTGAAGATACTTTATGTTCAATCGTGTGATGCTGGAGAAAATGCAGCTGATTATTTGGCGATCTGCTTATTATACTTTTCATGTTTGAGGAATGATGAAAATTATGGCTGGTGCATAATTTAATGTTTCAAGCAATAAATAATGCAGCAAAGTACATGAGGCTTGCCTGATAAACACAGTTTGTTAAACCTCTATTTATAATTTACAAAGAAGACTGGTCCAAATACTGACTCCCCATTTAATCTCACAGAGAAATATTTGGCAACCTCTGTAAATAACTGACTGATATTTCACAGAAATTTCCATCCAAGGAACCATGTTGTTGTTGATAGTGTTTAGCGGTAGAAAATTTTTCATAGTTAAAATTATTATTGGTGTTATTTTAAAAAGATGTACTTTTAAAAATTAAATAAATCCTGTTATTTGTTGTTTGTGTGCCGTCGAGTCAGAAGTAACTCTTAGCTGACTCTCCAGTGAGTTTTCAGAGGCTGTGAATTCCATGGGAGGAGATTGCCCATCTTTCTCCTGTGGAGCAATTGGTGGATCCAAACCATATGCCCTTGGGTTGGTAGCAGAGTTCCTATTATTACTAGTCGCTTATAAGTAAATGATAGACATATTATTCAATGGCTATATGATTGTATTCATATAGTTCAGGAGATACATAAAAAGATAAACTCATCTTTATCTACAATGTCTCACTCCCATCTACAAATTTCCCTTATCAAATTATTTACCAAGAGTTTATAAACACATTCTATGTATGTGTGTGTGTGTGTGTTCATACCTCTATAATTGTGGAATTTTAAATTTTTTAGATGTCAAATGGCATTAGGATTTGCCTAACAATAATGTCTTGTACACATTGTCATGATAATGATCGATATTTCTTTGCCCTTTTTTTAGCAGCTACACTGAAACTATTCTACAGAGGAACGTTTTTTATTTTTTTAAATTTTATTCTTTCAAATGCATTTTTACATAAACATGTACACATATTTGTGCTCTTGTAAATGCAATTAGAATGAATATATAGAACTTAAATTACTGGGTCTCAATTCACTTTTCAAACTGATGTTTCTATTTAATCTTTTTAAAAGCATCTCACATACTTCTCCCGCAAGTAATTCACATTAAGTAATCTGGTGATACCTGGTTACTTTTTTAAAAAATATGAAAATTTATGCTCTCCATAGGCAAGCATTCTTCTCTTATACTGAATGGCTAATGATGGCTATTCTTCTGTTATTTATACAATCAAACTTAGACCACTATAAACTATGAACTGTTGTCTCTGCACCTCACTGCAATGTCTGGATTTTATGTTAATCCTAATTATAAACACATATACAATCTACCTGACTTCCATTGGCAAAGTAAATGAGTTTTTAAGAGCAGTAAAAATTACCAGATAGTCAAATACTAATAAATTCCTATGCCATTATGAAACATATTCAACAACTAAAAACCCCAAATATTTACTAATCTCTAAAATGTCAAACACTATTCAATGGTTTTCCTGAGATAATATTTTGTACCCAAAGCCATATATATATACTGCATGGTTTTTGTAGTTAATCTATTATTTGTGGTTATTTTACTTATGTATAACTTAACTAGTGAAAACTACATGAATTGACTTCACTATCAATATCACATATGCCTATCATTCTTCATACAATCATGGTTTAACTTCACTAGCTGCTCCAGAGAAGAATGGGCAATCTTCTCCTTTGCCTTTGAAATTTACTGACTCTGAAAATCTGCTGTAGGGTCATCTGTGGGTTGGTTCTGATTTGACGGAACATGACAACATCAACAACTACAACAACTACTCCATGTTATAATCATCTATAACACCAGAAATAATCACGTTAATATTCACAAATCAAGTATGGTTTTAAAGAGTATTAAAGGATCAAATTCAAAACATAGCTAAAACGTTTTCTGTATGTTGTATAGTCTAACAGTATCAAGGCAAAACCAAGTATAAACTAACAGGAGAAAATTATCAAAGTAAATGTATGTCTCCTGTTTTATTTCATATTCCTAGTCACTTCACAAAAAAACCAAGGACTTACCTTACCAGGTTCACAATCAGTCCCATCCATCGGTGGATCTAATTTGGTTCTGCATTCTTTCTCACCTTCTACTTTACACCACAATCCTGTGCAAATAACATGCTGAAAAAGGAAACGATAAGAAAGGGAACAATTCACATTCTTTAGGTTAAGACAATAATTAAGATTATGTTAAGGATCATGCTTTAGGTATTTTTGAAAATAAATTTATACTTAAAACAGTGTACAACACAGGGATGGAAAGATGGCTATATAAAAACAAACATTTTTAAAAAATAAATCGCATTATTTATTTATATAAAACAAACATGGTTATTCAAAATTAGTTCACTAAACAGAGTAGACCAAATGTAATTATGCATACCTTTTGTTTAAGGATGAAAGAATAGGTATTTGTGTCTAGGCTATGTATTCTGTCCTTCTTTCTCTAAAATATCCTCACTTAAACTCTGCTTTTACTTAAATTCTAAGTTTAGAAGGTTGTTATTATTATATTGCAAAATAACAGCTCTTGACAGGATATTTTCACTCCTGTTATCGCTGTTGCTGTGTGCAGCTAAGTTGCTTATGAATCATAGCGACCCTATGCACAATAGCTCTGAACCCTAGCCCAGTCACTGAGTCAATCCATCTCGTCGGAGTCTTCCTCTCTTGTGGCTTACTTTTAATTTTATTTATATATAAAATTTACTTAAATCATACATATAAACAAAATGCAAATTTCAAATTATAAATTTTAATCTACTAAAAACTCATCTAAGAATTATTTTTAAAGAAAGCCTAAACCAAGGTAGTTTTTTGCAATATTTTAGACTTTAAATAGCACCACTAATTGTTAAGGAGCTCTGGTGACTTAAGGGTAAGAAGCAACACTGTAATTCCTAATGTATATGGTTTAAATCCACTAGCAGCTCTGAGGGAGAAGAATAGGCAATCTCCTCCCACTGGTATGCGTCAGTTCTGACTCCATAGCACACAACATACACAACATTGAGCATTTCTGAAGACACCTGTATCTGAATTAACTGATTTCTAATGTGATAATTTTTATTCATGAAGAGGGTAGAAGTTAAGTTGCTGCTGTTATTCACTTACTTTTTTGTCTTCAAGACCTTCTTGTTACATGTTTTATAACCTTTGGACCAAAAGGCTGAATTTACAACCAAAGACGACATTGCTTGAGTTACAGTGCATTAAGCAAGAATTACTTAAGTCAAGTTGATTCCTTAAGCAATGTATACAGAACTATAAAGCAAATCTAGGCTATAATTTTAGAATAATGCTTGCTTGTTGAACATTGTTGGTGGTCTATGACCTTCCACTATTATCTGCTATTCCAAACAGCAGGTACTCTAATTGATTCCCAGAGAGGGCATAAAAGCAAACTTGGCAGCTTTTCAAGATAAGCACAGCCACACAAAATAAATCTCCCACTGAAGAGACCTTTATTTACCCTTTATGCTCTGCAGGCCTAGGCATCTTAAAGAGGTAAATTACAGCCTCATTCTTAAAAATAACTCATTAATTCAGGGGTTCAAAGTAAAGTACCAAAAGTAAGGCAAAAAATGTGGAAGAAATGGTAGAGATTGCTTTCACCTTGAGAAGTGGCATGTCTCAGCTGTGTGACATTAGAGCACTAATGCTAGCAAGACCTGCCTTCAAATAATAAGGCATAAGCAATGCAGGCCATCAGGATAAAACATTTTCCATATGCTACACAGGCTAGAGATAAATATTTGGTTTTCAACTTCATTGCTGAAAATGGATATATTTATGTACATTTAGAAAAGAACTTTAAAATGCTCAGTGTAAGACAACAGAAACACACAATTCAGCATTTCCTAGCAAACTAATAAAAATAATATAATGTTCCTGTTTTTATTCCACTATAGTAAGAACCCATTAAAGGCATATAACATGATGCTTATTATCCTGGTGTTTATCTAAAGCAGACTTTCAAAATTCTTACAAGACAATACTATGCCTTTACATGGAAGGTCAATTATCAAGGTAGAATATCATGGAATCTACAAAGCTATCTGCACTCATATCTTTCTTTAACAGAAAATAGTTCCATTAAGAGATAACTCTTTATAAAACAAAACCAAAACCAGAACCTTAAATGCGTATAGTGCATATGCATAGGAACAATATGCTGATTTTGCAGTTACACATATTATCTTTCAAAACCCAATTTCAGTAACAACATTTGATTTCAAAGGTAACTCAAAGGTGGTATTATCTGATAACAGTGTTCTTTAATATATCAAGGTCAGAGGCAGAAAACCAATGAGAAACAGGGAGGAAGAGAGAAATAGAAAGACTAGAAAATATCCAAAATAAAGAATAAAAATCTCAATTACAGTTCTTTGTAAATATTATTAAGATTGAAACACAGTAAAAATAAGGTCTTGACTACAAATATTGTAAAGTCTAAAGAGAAAACAAAAGGACATACCTAAATAATGCCAAATTATGCTAAAGTGACTTGAAGCTGACCCTCTAGCAGGTTTTCAGAGGCAGTAAATCACATGGGAGGAGACTGTCCATTTCTCCCATGGAGTAGCTAGGGGATTAAAACTGCTTACCTTTGGGTTGGCAGTGCAATTTTTTACCACTAAGCCACCAGAGCTGCCGTAGCATACGTCAGTCAAAATTAGTAAAAAAATGTTTGTACAGTTGGTTTTGAAATTAAAAATTATTTTTAAAATTTTGAGTTTGAACTTACACAAAACCTTCTTGAGAAGAGACATAAAAGAAACCCTTTAAATTCATTCCAAAATACACAAACTAGACATGGATTTAAAAAAATGAAAATTAGTGGCATCTCTCTATTTTCTTAGATTTAGTATCCTAAATAAATATTAATAGTATGATTCTAACAAAGGGTAAAATAAATGCAATACACTATGACAAAGTCGAGTTTACCCAGGCAATACCAGATTGACTTAATATTAAAAATTGATTAAAGATTCAAACATCTCAAAAACTATACAATTTATATTATGATAAAAAATAGAAACTATGATTTTTTTTTTACATCTATGTAAAAGTTGTTGTATAGCTGACTCTGGTGGGTTTTCAGAGGCTGTAAATCTCATAGGAGGCGACTGTCCTTTCTCCCAAAGAGCAGCTGGTGGATTTGAGACACTTGCCTTGGGTGGGCAGTGCACCTCCTTACCACTAGGCCACTAGAGTTCCCTACAAATAGACTTATGCGATATTATTCACCACTGAAAGTAATGTCTTTATAATTAAAAAAACCCTCTAAACAACAAAACCCTCCAACAAACATCCTAATAAACACTGAAATGCTGAAGCTTTCCTTTTAAGACAAAAAACATGGCAAAAGGGCCTTTTTGACACTGACATAAATAAGTGAATATATGGTGTGACAAGAGAAAAAAAAATAGCTATCAATCTAGGCTCCAGAACTCAGTTAATTTTTTTACTTGAAATTGAAAGTAAAATAAAGATTCTTTCAAGGAAACAAAAACTGAGCATTTATCACCCACAGATTCACCTCAATGGACTTCTAAAATTTGTTTTATATATATATAAAGGAATATTATCTCTGAATAAAAGATCTAAAAAGGAAGTAACATAGAAGAGATGAGGATGAGTCTAGATAAATATTCACTACACAAAGTAAAATAGACTTTAGCCATTGATAGTAAAACTTTTAGTGGGAAACATGCTAGAAATGTTGCTCACTTATATTTGAGAAATTAATCTCCTTAACAAAGAATATTTAGCCACTGGCAGGTTCTCTGGTGGCCTAATGGCAAGCAACTTCATGGGAGAAAGATAGTCAATCTCTTCCTGTGTAATTACTGCTTCTGAAAACCCACTGAAGGGTTAACTATAGGTTGGTTCCTTTTTGTCGTACACAAAAACAACAGTTAAGTACGTTTTATGTCTTCCTTTTCACCTCTTATACTCCCTCCCCATACTTCAACACTGTTAGTAGTAAGTTAGTGAGTTAGAGTGCTCTGGTGGCCGAGTGGGTAAAGATTTGCACCACTAAAACAAAGGCAGGTGGTTTGCGTCTAACAGATGACCCACAGGAGAAAATAAGGCAATTTTCTCCCACGTGCTTTACAGCTTCTGAAAACTCATGAAGGGTCAACTACAAGTTGGTTCTGACATGATAGAATGAGTTAAGTTGAGTGGTAAAAATTCGATAATAGGTATCAGGATTGGAGGAAGACTCATCGACAACCTACAGGATGCGGATGACACAACCTTGTTTGCTGAAACTGAAGAGGACCTGAAGCGCTTGCTGCAGTCTTCAATATGGACTAAAGCTCAAAATCAAGAAGACAAAGATCCTCATCACTGGGCCAACTGGCAGCACCATGATAGAGAGGAGATTGAGGCTGTTAACAATAACAGCTTGCTCAGCTCCACAATCAACACTCTTGGCAGCAGCAGTCAAGAAATCAAAAGATGAATTGCACTGGGAATATACGCTGTCAGGGAACTCTCCAACGTACCGAGAACCAACGATGTCAGTCTAAAGACTAATGTGTGCTCGAACCACACCATGATCTTCACAATTACTTGTTATGCATCTGAGACCTGAACAATGACTAAATATGACAGCAGAAGAATGGATGCCTTTGAGTTGTGGTGTAGGAGAAGAGTCTTGAACATACCATGGATCACCAAGAAAACAAATAGGTCTTCCTGGGAAAGAGTAAAACAAAGTCTCTACTTGGAGACTAGGATTTTGAAGCTCTGTGTCACATAATTTGGGCACGTAGTTAGGAGGCACCGCTCCTTGGTGAAGGACATCATGCTTGGAAGGGTGGAGGGACAGTGCAGGAGGGAAAAACCCTGGATAAGATGGATTGAGACAGTAACTAAGGCAATGGGGGTAGGTGTATCTGAGTCAATGAGACAGGCTCAGGACAGGGCAGGCTTCAGAGCTAAATACGGTTTCTAAGTATATATTGTCATTCTGAGTCACAGGCAGCTAGATGGTATATAGCAACACAATAATGGAGGAGAAAATACAATCTGTGCATAAACAAAACATGGAGCTATGGGCTGAAAAATAATCTTCATCAGAAGACATTAGGATGAAATTCTTAGTGATT